GATACATACAGACTATATTTATAGGCTCTCTGCTTCTATTTTGGTCCTGTTACAACCTTCCATTTTTTTCAGTTTATTTAATGTGATTTGCAAGCACAAAGAGAGATAAGGTGCTACTAAAAAATAGCTAGACAAAAGTTGAAAAAGATGATGTTTGAAAGAGCAAACCTGCTGATACACATCCCATGGTACTGTCAGAACCAGGAACGCCTGACTTCAAGATCGTATTTCTCTAGGATGATTTTGTCCTGACTTGAACGTCTTAGATATCCATGGCAAACAGAAGTCTGCAATTAATCCACCACTGTAAAAATTAAGTATTGCAGAGCAAGTAAAACGTATGGTCCTGGAGCTGAAAACCACATGTGCTGCTTTTGTTTGTACCCCTGAACTTCACAAATGAACACAATTCACTGTCAGCAGCTGCTGATGTTTTAAGCTTGGAGTCCTGAGCTTCGTTTCCCCTGCACTGCGAACACGGGTACATTCTGCTGTCACGATGGATCCTATCTTGAAATCATTCCACCATAAAAATCACTCTCAGCTTTGTTGAAAGTTATTGTGGAAGAGAAATGCAGATTAAAGGTGGATGGAGATTTCTGGTTTTATGACATTTAACACTTCCATCAACAGGTGTGGGATTGTGTGAGGCTGGCATTTGACTGTCCAGTTAAAGTATTTGTTACACGTCCTTATTTTTCAATGTATATCTATAGCTCTTGGTTGGTACAGTTGTTCTGCAGACTGTGCTTTATTTTTAGTCCTTGCTCCTCCCAAAGAGACATCTCTGCAGACACCATGTGTCCTCTGTGGCAGGGAGGTTTTGTGGTGTTTGCTGTCCCTGTGGGCAGGGAAGAGTTATAGCTCAGCTTACTTTTGTGTCAGTCTTTGAAGCATTTAAAAATTCATTTGTCTTTTCAAATTCCAGCATTTAGACTTGGAAAAGCATTTCCCAGAGGAGTCAAAGCACTAGAAGGAGGAAACCAGTTTGAAGAGATGAACCTTACACCAGTAAATTTGCTGTTTACTTAGCTTTTTTTCTCATGAGGCTTCATCACAGCTTTCTACTGCTCTCTGCAAGCGTAGTACATCAGCTGGGTGGGAATGTTCTGTTTAAACACCCGGAGCTGCAGCCTCCCCTGGTCCCTGGGGAGCTGCACAGCTTGACTGGGCACTGACGGGCACAGGGGTGGTAATATGGAGCATGAAGATTCTGACTGAAACATCACATAAGTATCATGTCAAATGCTGTTTGAAACTGGAACCGTCCGAAACCTCATCCTTTGAGGTTTTTTCAAGCTACAGAGAAATTTGGAAGGGACAGGAGGGCAGAGCATGGGACAGGTCTGTGCAGTCCTTGGGACATGGGAACGTGTGTGCCTGTTGCTCTGGTTCAGGCTAATGTCTCTTTTGTAGGTAATCAGAATTACCATGAAGAACCAACAACAGTGAACATCTCTCCCTTCCTTTCCCCTTTATCAACATGCCATTTGCTGTACAGATTAGGGTTTAATTTTTTTTTTTTTAGCTTAAAGAGAAAAATCATTTAGGAAGAGTCAGACTGTGAGAGGGAATGTTGCCAACATACATGAAATATCCTATTGCAGCATCACCTTTAGAGACCTTGGAAAGGGATTAATGGAGAAGACGAATTTTTAAATTTTTTTTCCCCATCATTGCAGCTAGGTATTTTGGCCCTAAATTGCAGCATGGTGAAACTGCATTAATGATGAAAACTAACAATAGGGATGCGTTATGTTACTGTGGAGTGGTGTCCCTGTAGCTCTCTGTATACTGCTGCTGTTGATATGCAACAAATAAAATTCATATTTTCTCTTTAATATTTTCCTTCATATTTCACTACTTAACGTGTTGAAGTTTAAGGAGTACTTACAAAGAATAGCTCAGGCTGCATTTGGGATATAAAATTTATATTAATGGAATCAATAGCCTCTTAGATGCCTCTTGGATTTAAGTTTTGTATAACTGGGGGACAAATATTTTGAAAGACACAATGGAAACCCCTGGGTGACCCCCTGTGGTTATGGATTGCACAATCTGCACAGATTTGCCTCAACCCTTTTTTGTCTTATTTAGTTACTCTCATTTATGCATCCAGATATCGGCAACTCCATGTAGCTCTGTATGTTCATACTTACATTGGCGGTCTGGTAGTATGTCCTGCTGTCAAAAAAGGAACAGAATATATGTATTAAAAGGTAATCATGGTGGTTTTGCTCTGATTCTTTATGGTCAGTATAATTTAAATCAGGCATATAGCTGTATATACATATATACACAGCCATATACACATATGTATGCACAAGAGTGCAGGGTAGCTTGCATTTATTTATGTGATGAAGAAAAAAGGTGAATTCTGGTACCAGTTTAGAAGAAATGTGACAGTACAACAATTAAAGTTTCTGAGCTATTTCACATATACAAATCCAGGATTCAAGTGCAGTAAAATAAAGCAAGTCAAAAAATACAAGTGGCGTAACTAAGCTGAGGCTTTGGAGTTGGCTGAACAACAAAGGGTATGTGACAACTATCAAACATCTGAAGTCTCAGAGCAGTGGCACCTCAGTGGATATGTTTTGGGTATGATGCTAATAAGCTTTACATTTGTCTTGCTCTATTTGCAGTTCACTGCTGGGTTTGGAGGAGACTTTTTCTTTGAAGATACATTGGAGATACAGGCTAAGTGAAGGGAGCTGGGCTCTGAAAATAATTGTTGGGGTTTTTAGTTTGGTCATTCATGGGAATGAGGGCTGTCTTGAAACTGTTTTTTGTTTGTTTTCTCTTTGGTGTCCAAAGAGCAATGAAGCTGGTGAAGGGTCTAGAGTACAAGTCTCATGAGGAGCAGCTGAGGGAGCTGGGGTTGTTTAGCCTGGAGAAAAGGAGGATGAGGGGAGGTGGGTGTCAGTCTCATTTCCAAACAACTGATAGATGAGGAAACAGCTTCCAGTTGCACCAGGGGAGGTTTAGATTAGGTATTAGGAAAAATTTCTTCACCAAAAGCATTGTCAAGCATTGGAACAGGCTGCCCGGGGAAGTGGTTGAGTCACCATTAATGGTGGACTTGGCTGTGCTAGACTAACTGTTGGACTCTGTGATCTTAAGGGTCTTTTTCAACCTGATTCTGTAATTCTCTAAAAAATGCTATTCTTTTTTCTCCGTAAAAGAAAAAGACAGAAAAAAAGTATTTAATTTCATGTGTGCTCTTAAAAGTTAGTAAGATTTTTTTTTTTTAAAAAAAAAAAAGATACGTTCTTTCCAAGCTAGGAATATTTTCTTTGAAAAATGTTAGGGTTTTGGTTTCAGTGTTTGGCTTTTGTTTTTTTTTATTGTTTTTTCTTTTTAATATCTCTGCATTCCTCTATGTCTGATAGCTAAAGCTACTTATGAGCTAGAGATATTAATGAAGAGAGAATCACTTCAATCACTCACAGAACCACATCTAATGAATGAACTATTGAAACATTTCTCATTGCTCAGCTGCAGAGGTCGAAGTGATACTGACTTCCTGCATGGCCTTGGATGCGTCATTATCTCCCTCTCCTTCCTCTACAAAACCTGCCTGTTAAATAGTTCCTGTCAGAAAAGGTGTGAGAAACAATTAGCTAGTGCTGGTAAAGTGTTTTGAATAGAAAAGGTGGTTCATAGGTGTTAAGAGTGGCTCCCATCAGTCATCCTTAGCGGATGCTGTCATTTACCAGCCTCTGATTTTTGGTTGTTAGGTTTTTTCACTAGTGGAAAGAAAACAGGATAGGCTCAAGAAGTCTATCAGTATTTACGTTTCTGTCTTCAGATGTTTTAATAACAATTCCCCATTGACTTCATCTGCTATTGATCAGTTTAATAAATGGAGATATTTCCTGTTCCATGGGTGTAAAAATTGTGTTCCCCACTAGCCTGAGAAGTAGTTTCTGTCATCTGATAGCCACCCCTGGCTATCAGACAAGTTCCCATTTGATAGTAATATACACATATAAGTGCCTCTCGGTTTTGTCTGTCACATCTTTTCTAGAGCAGATGGCCATGTTCTCTGTTGTTCTAGGATCTCTGGGATAGTCCTCCTTTTAATTTGGTGTTGTCAATCTGTTCTGCTGTTGATGGGCTAGGACGAGTTCCTGTAGTAATAGGTGGAGGCAGGGGTAAAATAGTGAAGCAAAGCATTATTCTGCATCAGACAAACATTTTACAGGGTCTATACCTTTTCCTTTATATAATGTATTTTATATGTTGCAACATTATGGTCTCTGTATTTATCAAAGTGCTCCCACTGTGGAGAAGAGAAACATAATGGTTAAGAGCTGACATCTGAGCCTGGCTCTGACCCTCCTGGGGAGCCCAAGAGTCTGCAGCTGCTCACCCTCTCACACAGGGCTTGTTGCTGCCACAGCTTCCCACCTGCAGCAAGGCTGCAGTGCACCCTGTGGGAGACTCTTCTCCAAAGTCTTATTATGTAGAAACTAAAAAAAAAAAAACCCAAACCAAAATTAGGAAGGGTTTGGTTTGTAGCAAAGTTGCTTCACTGTAAGAAAGCTTGGGCTATAAAGTTGGGTGGTGCTTTCTGCAGAGGAATGGGACAGTTCCTGGGATACCAAACTGCTGTCATTAACATAGAGTGAAGGAAAGCACTGAAAGACCTGCTCCAACTCCAGTGAAACCTGTGTTGGTTTTGCCATTGACTTTTTTAGTGGTGTCAAGGTGAAGTCTTCAGTGAACAGTTGCTCAAAAACCTGTGTAAAACCTCCCTGACAGGGGTTGGACTCTGGCTTGGTGATGAAGGGGGTGCAAGGAGTTGATGGTTGTGCTGACTTGGGCAGCTCAGAGACCTCCCTCAGTTCCCTCTTACTGTTATGAACCCTAACATGGGGATTTTTTGCTGTATGTTGGATTGAAATTAATTTATGTTTTCATGTAAGAAATGCTTGTAATGCATGGGATGTGACTATTTTTAGTAAGATGAGTATAATTTTTCTCCCCATTTATAGGATGGCTATTTTTCCCACCGACCGAAAGAGAAAATGCGAACAGACAGCAATAATGAAAATTCAGTCCCCAAGGACTTTGAAAATATTGATAACAGTAACTTTGCTCCCAGGACTCAGAGGCAAAAACACCAGTCTGAGCTGGTGAAAAAAAACCCTAGCAAGCAAAAGGAGCACTTGAGAAAGAAACTGGAAGAGGAGAAGATGAAGGAGAACTTGCTGCTAGGGAAGAACTCCAATGAGGTGGTGCAATTCAGTGATCACCCTGGAAAAAACAGCAGCAGCAACAACAACAACGATATAAAGGAGATTCACAGGTCTCCCAGACAGCATCATTTAAAAAAAAGTGGAAACAGCTCCCCTGAACTGAGATATGACCAAACACCAAAGTGTGAGGTCACGGGGAAAGAGGCAATCTCGGCCATGTCCCGGTCTAAATCTAAGCAGTGTCGGCAGGAGATCGCAGATGTGTATTGTCAGCACAAGCATGGAAAGCTGATGCCGGAGAAAGTGACGCGTTTCTGTACACTGGAGGGTAAGTTGGTAGATGATGAAGGAGAAGTAGCGCTGTATCTCGGGGGAAGGATTCTGTATAATTCAAATGGCTTTCTGATGACAAATTGCCTTTATTGCAGGAATGTATAATGTACTTAGTCTGTGAAAACGAAGGAGGGTTTGAGGATGTTTTAAACAGGGAGTTATACAGGTGTCACAAGATCCTTGGTAGATTCCCACAGAATTTTGTTTCACTTTATTTCCACCAGATTTTTGTTACACTAATGTGATCTAGATATTCCGCTGCTACTCCTGTTTCTTTTAGTTCTTAATCTACAGGCACAGAGAAGTGTAGTGAAAGTCTTTTTATTCTGTACAGGAGTTGTCTGCTTTTTGGGGATCAGGAAACAGCTATGGTGAATTTTGATGCCTTATGCGAACCGATAAATGAGTGGCATTGCTGTTATGGCCATATGACCATTTTTTCTGGCACAGTGGAGTCCTAGCTAATAACCAGGACTGCTAGGCATTTTGATAACCCAGGTAATCATCAGAAGTATAATAATAAAAAAAAAAAACAAAATTCCAAAAGTATGGGAAAAAAATCCGATTTTATGGCTCACTTCTATTTTTAACGTTCTCCAGCAGTAAAAGTAATTTTGAAAAATCACTGCTGTAGAGAGTCAGTTACCTCTGCTAGCCCAAGCCAAGCTTTGATTTGTTGCTTTTGGTTTCTCCATGCAGTCAGATACACGAGGTATCTCCTAGCTTGCTTTTGGTTTGCATGCGTGAGCTGACCTTTTCCTACTTTTCAAGAAGAGTACTTCTTGTGCCACCATTCATTAAGCTGTCAGCTTCCCATACAGTTAAATGCTTTTTTTTTTCTTCTTTTGTAAAAAAAGCATTGATCGGTTGATCAAAGTAGGTATTGATCAAGAAACAGCATTATCTGCAGCAGCATTTGTTTATACAACAGACCAAAGTCCCCATCCTATATTTGGCACTTGAGCCCTTGCATGTAAGGATATGCTAATGTCTTTTCTTCGTCTGAGCTGAAAGTGCAGAGGGACTTCCACAAACAAGAGAACTGGTCTTGCTTTGAGATGGTACAGTAAACATGATGAGCCATGGGGATTAGGGGTTGTTTAGTTTCTTTCATTAGGAATATTTAGTAACATCCTCTCACCCCCATAGCTTCCTTGTTTATTGCCCCATCACAAAGCAGTGGTTACTACTGGGTGGTTTCATTGTGGGAGGGAGGAGGATTCATGTTGCTGTTGCCTAAATTAGGAGGCTAAACTCCCCGTGCAGACAATGGGAAGAAAAGGAGGTACCCCAGAGGATGTTTCCAAACAAGAGCATCTCTCTGTAATAGGAAGCTTCGGCTTTTAATTTAGATGACGCATATTACCAGGATGAACTGTGTGAGCACCCCATTTCCCACCTCAGTGCATCTGTGACTGTTTTGTTTTGTTTTTTTACCATGTCTCTGTTGGTGTTTATTCTCCCTTTCTTACCCTGGTAATATTCAAAATCATTAAGCTAGGTGGGCAAACATTGGAGATAAAGAATTAATGGAGCAGGCAGAAACCTTGGTGTTCAGTGCAAAGCAGGGAGAGGGACAGCAGAGGCAGCACACATTGAAGGGAAGACAAAAGAACAGTACAGAGATAAAAATTGAGCAAAACCAGATATCAGTGACAGGCTGAGCATCAGTGACTACCGTCTGGGTGCCCCTGAGGTTCCACTGGCGTACCACTGGTGGAATCCACTGTGATAAGCATGTCCTTGGTATCCTTCCCTCTTCTCTAACGACAGGAGAGTCAGCTCTGAGACTCTGAGAAAGCTGATGGAAGTCAGCACCTTGCAGACACTGTCCTACACTTTTTGGGAGCAAGTATGTATCTTAGTAATGTCATCAAATGCATCACGTATGCAAATATGCAAGCGGTATCCTGGAGAGAGCAAGAAGATGGATTGTCATTAGTGTGGGCACACACTGCAGCTGTGTGCAATTTTGTACGCACCTATGATTTTATCTCCTGCCTGGGGATGGAATTCTTAAAATTCTTAAAACAGGCTTCTCGAGAAATACTTGTTGCTTCTTTTTAAAATACAGAATTTATCTCATATGCCCTGCAGTCAAGATAATAGTGTGGTCACAAGCAGATTGGGACATCAGACCTATGGAGGAGATCCAACCTTTGAAGTCACTTCTCAAATGTCTGAGTACAGGGTTATCAAGACAGACATGTAGATACCCCGACACTGAAGTTGCCCAGTGCCTACCAGCAGGCCTTATATATAAGTAAAGCTTCGTAGGTCCCTTATATTTTACAGCCCTGTTAAAGGTACATTGCCTAAGTTTAAATGTGTTATGGTCTCAGATCTCTTCTCCCCACTGCAGAACATAAATAACTGCTGCTGTTCAGCCACAGACTGGCTCCATCCCTCATCAGAGGTGTCTGCATCAACTGCAGAGGTCCTTTAAAGTAGCCGAACTGGGTTAGGAGATGTTTGTGAGGCAAAGGCCATCAGCTTTTGGGGATATAAGACACCCCATGATTAGGAACACTGGTAGGGGGAGGTCTGGGTTGAGGTCTTGTCACTATGCATCAAAAAAAGCTATATGCTGTTTGTCGACAGAAGTCAGACATCTGGGGCCTGAGTCTATGTATTCAGCATGTGAGTGCTGTTCCCTTCATTTTGGTTTGAAAAAAGGTTTCCTGGCTATTTTCAGCAGAGCTGAGAAGTATAAATATTTATGCATTGGAGCAGCACAGTTGTCCATTATCCCAACTTATAAACATGTTCCCAGTGCTATGGTTTCCATTGAGATGTCATCCAGCACTTAAGCCCCTTGGTTCCTGTCTCAGCTGATCAAAACCATGAAGTTGCTAAGTGTAGCTATCAATCATGGACATGACTTCATCCATCTGGATTGTCATAAATGTGAAGTGATACCTTCACTTGAGTGGTTATTAATGGCCTCAGGATCTTAAAAGCTGTTTTTCTTTTAAGTATTTGATTGTTTCTAACGGCAACAGGCAAAGGAAGTTGAATGTAAGTATCTTCAGTGTATAAAAGAAATTGTTAAAAAGGAGCATGTTTACTATCTGCTTGACATGCAGGTGTTATTTCCGTAAGAACAGGAGGTCATAGGCTGCAGTCCTTCTAAGGACGTTGCAGAGAGACAACACTGCTGAAGCAGCAAAACGGAGCGTGGCAACTTAGCCTGTAACCTGACTTTCAGTGCATGTGAGCTGGTATTTCCCAACAAGCTGGTCCTGAAAACAGGGCACAAACACTACAGAACAGGGGATTAGTGTCAAAAAGCTTTAGATGCAGCCTTATCCGAAGTCATGGCTGAGATCAGGGCAGCAGGCAGCTTGAAAGTCATCCTTCACTTGGAAGGGAATGTTTGGAGTTTGTAGAACTGTGTTTTGAGGGGAAATGCAGTCAGTGAAGGTAAGAGGGGAAAAGTAGGTTTGGCACAAACCTACTTTTGTTAGATGAAGTGTTAGATGAAGAAAGGGAAAATCCAGTCCTGTGCAGGTTGGGGAGAGGGTATAGGAAGACATCCTTTTGGGAGTTCATTTCTTCTTGGGAGATGTGATGTGGAGATCAGCAACCTGTGGACAATGTGGCAGATTGTTTCCTTATTGGACCCATCTCCAGCCTGGTCCTACGCAGGCCAGACTAGAGACACTGATTCCCCTGGTGTGCCAGCCTCACTTCTGCTCACCGAAGCTGTTGGTGGACCTGGACCAGTTGCCTCCATTTGTTGTCCGTCATCATACATGGCCCTCCTCTTGCGCAGAGGTACTGCGAAGAAGCACAAGTTTCAATGTGAGTTTTTGGCTCCAAAATAAGCTTCACTCTGTACCTAGACAAACTCATCTTTGACAAAGCACAAATGACCTGATCTGTGCCACATTTCTTCTGGAATAATCCCTTATTAGCTTGGGCAAGAGTACAGTTTAGAATGGCCACTGTAACCTTGACTGCTGAGATTGTTGCCCAGATTATTGGGCAGCAATGCAATTACAATTGCACAACTCTCTACATTCCAACATGCATATTGAAGTAGTGACTTTTAGTTGTAGTCTTCCTTCTGTGATGAAAAAAGCCCAGCTTCTGACCCACTGGCAAGATTCAGTCCCTGAATTCTCTGTTTTTCACTCCCATGTGGATCATGGTAGTTTGTAGCTCCAAATCCCTGGCCTTGCAAGTTTTCTGGGTATGCAGCACGGTCCCTCCTTAGTCATTGGCACCAGGTCTGTGAGTCACTGAAGGCATGGTGCCAAGTAGTACCTGTGTTAGTCCTCCTCTGGGCCAGCTTCTCTAGGCTGTCATATCCCCACGGAGACTCTGGCCTAATGCTTATCATTCATTACCCAACTGGGCTTATGCTAGACCCAGATCTATGGCCCTAGATAGACCAAAAGTATGTAACAGGTTTTTTTGAGGGTTTTTTTCTAAGATGTAGTTATGGCAAAAGAAAAGTCCCTAAGAAAGCAGAGAGCCTCAAGTGAGCCTGACTTATTTCCCCTTGGCTCTTCTGTTGTCTTTTCTTAGTTTATAAATCAAACAGGTTTTCTGCTACCTTCATCCCCATGGGGTAAACCCAACTCATAAATGATGTAGAAAAATAATCAAGCCACCCTCATTCCACATCATTCATCAGCACTGAAAGGGTTCTTTGCAGATTAGACTGCTTTCTCCCTGGTTGCTTATTGATAATGCTACTCTGGCACATCGAAGCAAGAGTTTCCAGTTTCTTACAGGCTACTGAGAGGAAAAATTTTCATTTCATTTTAGAAAACACAGTCATCTTTTGGTTTTCAAACTGAGAGAAAAGGGCTCTGAAGCTCTGTTTACTGAATAATGTGCACAGGTAATAGCAATCTGTATGCCTATAATGTTTTTATCTGACTACTTCAAAGCACTGAACAGAAAGGGGTATGATTTGCAGGAAAGGAAAGGATAAACCACTAAGATGCCAGTTACTTAAGGGGTGGAGCATAACTTCGTCAAGGC